TAAATCCTCCCCACCCGATCCTTGAGCACAAAGGCAGGGTTCTGTGGTGGTGGTGGAACCCAGCACCCATTGTCCCCCTCACTGCTACTCTAAGGTCCCCTTCCAAAAGACCAAATTTTATGTGATGTATATTTTACCACAATTTTTTAAAAGCTGCCTTCTCTGGGAAGCCTGCCCTAACCACCCATCTCTATGGCTGCTCACGACTCCTCACCTACCGTGTGCTTTGTTGACTTGCTTCACTTCTTGTTTCTCTCCTGTCCCTGGAATGGAAGCCCATTGAGGACAGGCATCATCTCGCTCACTGCTTGTCCCCAGCACCCAGAGCATGGCTGCACAGTAAAAGTCTTCTAAAGGCAATTCTGTTTTATCCCACAAGAATCTCCTTCTCTCTCCACTCCATCATCATCTGCAGCTGCCTTGGGCTGGGGGCCTCTCCCCGTTCTCCTGGAGGTCCCCCCACCCCCTTGGCTGCACTCTGGGACAAGTAACCACCTGCTGTCTTTGCTCCTTCCCTCTGCATCTCTTTCTTTTGTCCTTTCTGGTTCTGTTATGGACTACAAAACATCTGGGAATGGGCTAGCAACCTCTGAGAACAGGGGCTGGACAAAGGCAAGGCTGGCAGAAAAGCAGGGATGTCTGGGAACATCTGCTTGTCACCTTATCTTTTCTGTTACACTGTGGCTGTTGGAATTCAAGCTGGTTAATGGCAACCTCTACAGCGGTAGGGCCCCTACTGATTTGCTGAAAAGTCATAACGGTCACAGGCCTCCAGGATGCAGGACCAGCCAACCTTAGTGGAAAGGCACACAGGCCTAGGGCTGTCCTACTTGAGGGGAACAGCATGCATGTGTCTGGCCTGGTAAAATGGAACCGCTATGCCGACAATTGCTGGCTGTGCATTGCTGAATGGAGATGCAGCCAGTCTGATCACTGGTCACATCCCAGAGGCCAGCAAGTAGAGGACCCTGTTGGCTCCACGGCGCATCCCACCAAGAGCTCTCCGGGAACCTGCACACACATAGGCCACAGGTATCTTATTCCCACAGCAGATAACTCTGGGGACCAGAGAGAGAGCATACTAAAACTTTAAGGAATAAGCTACACACTGGACATCCAGACATGGACCCACTTTTCTGGTATCTGAATACAGATGGCACTCTGAGCCCACCCTGGGGTGTCGGGAACCCAGGTCTCTGGCCAGTGTGACTCCCCAGTGCAATGGACCTGGACAAGCGAACCGCAGCTTGGATGGATGAAAACCCAGTATAAACTTGTAGCATAAGAAAGGGGTTGGCTTATGACAAGGAAGTGCAGAAGGGGCCCCACATGTAGGGGCTGGATCTAGAGATGCGAACCAGGTGTCCTGGGTCCCACTTGTGGCCTTTAGCCCCCAGTCTCTCGGAGGCCTTGCCTCTCCAACAACTGGCTTTCTCCATCGGGTGGACAAGGTCCTAGCAGCACATGCAATTCTCCCTCCTACTCTGTGACCCTAAAGGCAAGGTTCCTTCTCCATCTGCAAACAGAAGTCCTAAAGAAGGGCCTGCTGGGTTGACCTTCCTGTCCCAAACCAGTCAATGTGGCAGTAATGTGACACTGAGGGCTGCAATCACGTGGGCAGGAGTCAGGAACCTGGCTGTCCCTGGGACCTGCACCCTTGGGCTGCCCCTGTCGCATGGTCCCATTTGTGTGAGCAGCCCCAGGGAGCCCAGTGGTGAGGAGCTGAGACTCCTGCCAACAGCCAGGTAGGGGTGTCACCCTGGAAGCTCTTCCTAGAGTGCCAGGCAGCTTCACATGGCTGCACCCTTGTGAGTGACCCTGAGCTAGAACCAATCATGTTGCTGCTCCTGGGCTCCTGGCCCCTAGAAACGGTGAGATTAGCTGTCTTAACTTGCCAAGTTTTAGGGTAATTTATTACATAGCAATGGATAGCTGAAACAATCAACAGAACAAGGGGGTAAGTTAATGACTTTGGCATGCGCTGCCCAGAGCTGTAGGTGTTAGCATTTGGGGGGGGTCTACAGACCCTGCCCTTTACATCTGTCCAAAATCCCACACCCTGCAGTCACAAGAAACATTGAGGAATACATACCTATTTGGTTGTGTGCAATTCCTGTACAAGATTTTTGCTAGTAGAAATAAGACTCTTCATCTTTTCAAAAACAAAACCTGTGATCACAAAATCTTGTTTGACACGTGGTGAGTAAAATCCAGTTAATGAAGGATATGAGAAGAAATTGTTTTTTCAGAGAGACCTTTAGTTCAGAAATGAAATTTACCAAAATTCAAAGAGATGAACAAGTTTATTCAAACATTCCACAAGAGAGTATACTTTATAGAAGACGCCCTGCATTAGCCAACAGGTAGTTGAAGATAGGTCGTTCAAAGCTGTGTGACTTAGCCTCCACATGATAAACTCACTTGTATAGTTGTGGGAGTGGCAGTTACACTGTGCAGTAGTCCAAGGGCTTCAGAGGCCAGGGTAAGTGTGGAAGCAACTGTGTTTTTTTTTAGAAAAAATGGTTTAGAAGTTTACCTGCTGCCAAACTGCCTAATTTGGGAAGAAGCAAATAATCATTTGCTCTGGTATTAAAGAAGACTAGCTCTTAAAACAAAAATGGCCCAAAAGATCATGTCTGTCTCCAGATGCTTACATATCACTCCTATTTTACAAACAAGGCAACTGACCCAGCTCCCCCTCCAGGGTGCTTTGGTCAAAGAATGAAGGCACCTAGTGTCAAGGTGGCAGTGCAGAGACCTACGTCATGCCCTGATACCAGGAGTCCACTCCTGGGTGCCTCTCAGACAGTTAAGGAAAGCCACATGGAAATGTCCTGACAAAAGTGTTCAGAGAGTTGAGGAAGTACAGGTGAGTAAACAAGTCGGGAGGCCAGACAGCAGAGAAGGCAGGACTGAAGCACGGAGAGGGAAGTGGATTGAAGCTGAGTTCTAGTGGTGGTGAGCACCTCTGGGGACTGAGGGCCAAGGGAGGTCTGGTGAGCAAGCTTCTCTTCTAGGGTCCAGGCCAGGTCACCTGAATCCTTCAGCTAAATCCCTATTGCTTAGGTGAGTGCATCGGTAGGCCTGAAGCAGGGTGGGGATAACCTCTCCAGAGGCTGGGACTCAGCCGGCCTTCACAGCATAGCAGTTAAATAAGTGCATCCACATAATCTGTTTTTCCAGAACCTCATTTCCTAAGACATCATAGGAATAACTCCTGGATATGAATGGCTTCCTGGTTCACAAACTGCTTTCACAATTACATTGCGTTTTATCTGTACAACAATTCAGTGAGAAAGCCAACTTTGGCCTCACTTTGCAGATACTTATTATTATCCCCATTTTACTGATGAGAAAACTGAGGTGTGGGAAAGGTAATGACTTGCTCAAGGCTATGAGCTGAGGACAGCAGCCTGCATTCTTTCCCTGGAGGCTGGCCCCTTGCCATCCCTCAGCACTGCTTCCAACTGCCAGGCAGAGATCAGACCACTGTAACAATTTCATTTCAAACAGTATAAAAACGATTGCATTTTATACCCTGTCCAAACACATTCAAATGTATTAGAGGCTCTGAGTCACAAGTCCTCTGGACCGGGTGATGAGGGGAACGGGTGAGGGTGGGGGGCCCGTCACTTCCGGTCAGAGCCTGTTGCACAAGCTTCCATAAGGTGCAAGAACCTCTCTGGGAACTTTGGTCAGTCACGGGACTGGCTGGAAGGCGGAGAGTGGGTGGGGCCACCACAGAAGAAAACAGTTCGGGAGGAGCCCCGAGCGGGCCTGACTGTGCAGAAATAAAAAGCGGTTCAGAGGTGTGAACTGGCAGCTGCCCCGGGCTGGGGGGGGCGGTGGGGCGCTGCTCTCTCCACACACCAGCCACAAATAGGAACCTCGCGAAGGCAGGGCAGCCACGGGTTAAGGACCAGTAATCAATGTCGGCAGAGCGTTCCAGTTTCAGGGGTGAGGGAGGGGAAGCATATACCGGTTGCCTGTGTCAGCTTTGTGCAGACCCAGGAACCAGTCGGACCAGCTCTGAAGGGGGGCCCACACTTCTCAGTGACCCTGGACAGGTTACTTTTTTTTCTTTTTTTAGCGTTTCCTCATCTGGAAAATGGGCATTAGAAGAATTTACTTCACATAGTCATGAATATCAAATGAGTGTCTGATGCGCAGCCAGGCGCTATTTAGCACTCTGAGACTGGTCGTTAGGAATTTGGGGACACAGAAAAGCGAAGGATAAGCCGCCAGAACCCCTCCTCCGCACCACATCTACCTGGGCTTTGCTTTTTCTGCGGACAAAGCCTTCTAGCCCTGGCAGAGAGCATGCGGGCTAGGCCCCCATGCCCTGGACTGCAGGGACGGCACAGGCGGGAGAGGTAGGGTGCCGCGGCCCCAGTCCTGACCGGGGCGGGGGTGCTGGGCCTGACTTCCAGAAGTGAGTCCGCTCCTAAGGCAGAAAGTGTCATCCCAAATCACACATCTGTGGCCCAATGATCCAGGCGCCTGCCCGGCCGCGGATGCCGGCTGCCTCCTCCTTAACCTAGGCCTTAGAACTTCGTGTCACGTCGCTGCGCAGAGGCCCGTGGGCACCGGCGCTGGGCAATCACGGCCCCGCCTCGGAGGGCTCTGCGACCTGGGGCCCGGATCCTCCCGGGGTCAGGGCTGGGGGCCTAGCGGGATCGGGGGCCTGGGACCGGGTGGTGGCCGCCGCGATCCCTGCTCTCCGCAGGTTTCCCTCGGGCTCCCGAGCTCGGCCCTGTTGCCCTGGGACCTGTGTGGCCTCAGCACGCAGCCGGCGCAGGGTACCGACACCCTCCCTCTGCGCCAGCTCTACTCGCGGCGCTCCGCTCGGGCGGCACCTCAGGAGATGAACCGCTTGGGAGCGCGGACCCAGCTGGGGGTGCCCGCCAAGGAGCGGACGTGGGGCACCGAGCCTAGGATGCCCCGACCGCGCAGGCGCACCGAGGAGGCCCTTACCGCGCAGGCGCGCCGAGGAGGCCCTTACCGCGCATGTACTCCTCTCCGGCAAACATGGCGGCCGTCCTGCTCCTGCTGCGCGCCCTCCGCCAGGGTCCGGGCCCGGGTCCGGGTCCCGGGCGGCTGTGGGGTCCCTGTTCGGGCTGGAGCCCAGGCCTCTACGCCGGGGCCGAGAGGAGGAGGCCGTACTTCGCCCACAGGCCTCCGACGGGACTCGCCGGGGCTGGCGGCCAAGCCCTGCAGGTAAGCCCCGACCCCGGCCGGCCAGCGGGGTGCGGGAGCTGCGCCCTCCCGCCCAGGCCTCACCTGGCTTTTCCGGCCCTTGTTTCGCGTAGTGGCGTTTTCTGTCCGTCCGTCTTTCTTGCACCCAGCGAGGGTTCCCCAGCGTCCTTCCCAAACCTGAGGGCCACTAAAGATGTGTTACGCTTTTGTTTTTTTTAGTTCTTTAGTAAGAAGGAAAATCTTAATTTACTATCGTTAACCTGGTCCTATGCTTATTCTATGAAAATAAGAGCTGAAGTAGTTAGTTCACAAATACTTTTAAAATCTAAGCAGAGTATTTCACCAATGGCTCTAATAGTAATAAACAGATTTAAACAAACAATGGGGCTGACTTTGAAGAATAACAGTTTTTTACGTGTGCTGTATCTAACATGGCGATGTTCCCCGTTTGCTGGGCCCAGTCCATACTCTGTCCTCCCTGATATGACTTCTGGTCATAGCTGAGCCAGAGTAGTAGTAGTAGCTAAATGGGACATTAATTGTATAGATTAAGAATTATCATTCTGTTGCTAATGGAAAATTACACATAATGTACTCCTTACCAACTGTAAATCTGGGGAGAAGAAATCCCGGGGCAAAATACCTAGCTGAAACCGAAATCAGTCAAAGGGAGAAATAAAGCTGAAAACTTGCTTATTGCTTACAAAGAGCCGTCCGGCATGTGTCTCTCCCTGTCTCTGTCCCTCTCTCCTGCTGTGGTAGCAGCAGCGACCAAATCCTCCTCCCCCCAACCTCTCAGTTTCAGATAAGCCCTTGGTCACCCAGGTAGTTACCCATTGATACGGAGATAGACTACTTTCCACCCCTTGGAAATGCCTGTTGATATGGAGATGCACTAAAGGCAGTCGAGAGATTCTGGAAATACTGCAATTTTGCCCACACCAAGAAGTACTGAGCACGGTGTAAACTTTTTTCCATAGCAGCAGCAGAGCGGGGATGGGGCTATGAAAAAAAAATAAAAATAAAGCATAAATAAAGCAGACATGAAGAAATTGACAGAGATAGAAAAGATTAAATTGAACCATTGGCCTTAAGAACGTGAAACATTCAAGTGGGAAAGTGAACATTGGGAATACAGACCGGTAGCTTGCTATGGTTGCCTGGAAATGTTCTAGGAGGAGTTGTCTGGAGATGTCAGGAGCACAGGGTCTGGGCAGTCGCTGTGGCCTTTGGGAGGCTGTCTGGTCCTTGTATCCCTCCAGGACAATTGTGGGCCTGCAGGCACAGAATGGCAGCCAGTACCTCTTGCCTTTATTTCAGCATTTCTTTGACTTGCTCACTTGTATCACTTTTGATGTTTTAATGTTATCTTTTTTTTTTCCTTTTGATGTCATGTTAAAACTTTGAAATAATGTTCAGGCTGTTCTTTTATGTTTCAGGGCAATGTAAGCATTACACGTATCCGTCCATTCGGGCTTTTAGGGAAGATACTGCAGCAGGAAAACAGTGCACATCGCTGTGGTTCCGTGTGGTTGCACCTCCGTATCATTTTGTTTTTCAGAGTTTGCAATTGCGACTGTTAAGCCCTACCTTGGAAGGGATCACTGGATTATTGTTGAAACAGCATCTTGCTCGGAGTCCAGTCAGACTCTGGAAACTTCTAGGTGTGTATCTGTTGACAAGTAACAGAGCCCTGTGGCGTTTGTGGATTAATCAGAATAATGCTGTGGTTTGACATTGCCAGAAAAGGAATCGCTGAGAGAATCTTTGGCTTATATTTATTGTAAGCCCTTAAATGCTCTGAAATGGAGTTTTACAAAGAGGGAGGTGGTGTAAGGTGTGAGCAGGCTCCTTTTTGCTTATTTTATGTTGTCTTTTTTAATGCTGGTACATAGCAATAAGGGCTTTTTTTGTTGTTATCATTAATCTACAATTACATGAAGAACATTATGTTTACTAGGCTCCCTCAGCAATAAGGGCTTTTAAGGGTTGCTTGCAAAGGCTTTTCATGTTCTCTAGCCAGTCCAAGAATGTTTAGAAAGGATCTACAAAGTGCCTCTGTTTGTTTTACTTCCAGAAGGGAACTAGAAGCAGCCTACTAATCATGTTTTTTTTAAGATAGAGCTGCACCGTTTCATGAGACACATTTTGCTGTCTCTTGATCTTAGATCAGAGGACTTTAAGGATTGAAACATGTAATTTACTCCCCCTTTTTTTTCTGTTAGAACAGAGAAAAGGTAAAGTCCTCTAGCTCCTAATGTACATTAACCAGCCTGTTTATGTGCTCACAGAGAGTTGACTTTGTGGCAGCTTGCACGGCTGCCATCTGAGGTTTTCTTACTTGAATCTACTTATCATCTGGGCCCACACTTTACCCTCCAAACAGCCTGTCCTGTGGCCGTCAAGCTACTTTCATTTGTGATTCTGTTAACATCTGTGAAGAAAGGTACAGGCTTGGTCATGTGATTGTGAGGCTGTCCCCCATTTTAAACACTGAATGTGTGCGGCCCTTGGACAGGATAGAGCCTTCTGTGTAGGGCGGGCTCTGGGTTCCTTTTGTGCCTTTTTTCACATTCATTTAAGGGGCTGGATGCTGAAGGGATTGCTCTCCAGCAGATTCGTGATACTTTCTCAGATTTACATTCCTAACTAATTATTTCCTCGCATTGGCTAGTTTAAATTGGAAAAATACTTAGTAAGTTGAAGTAGTTTATTATTCTGTAATTAGCAGATACTATATGAAGAGCAGTTATCTCAAGCTTCTAACTCTCACTCACGTAGGTGTCAGATGGTCTGTGTTGTGGTTGGGTGACTGGACGTGCTCTCTCCAGAGTGGGTCCTGCTGGTTGGGTGACTGGACGTGCTCTCTCCAGAGTGGGTCCTGCGGGCAGATTCTGATGGTTAAACACCTTACCTCTTCCTTGTAGGTGGGACTTACTACTTTAACACTTCAAGGATGAAGCAGAAGACTAAGGGCAGTGATAAACCCAAGGGGAGGACCACTGAAGATGATGAAGGTACATGTCTCTGATGTTCCTAAGTACTGGCAGCCTTGGTACGGATGCTCCCATCTAAGCAACAGGAAGCCTGTCTTAAATGTAGGGTGAGCCAGGGAGGGGTGTGTCCCTTGCCCTTTGCACACCTGTTTGCAGTCTCTAATGTGGAGCTGGATGTAGGTTGGTCCTAGAAGCTTTTATACTTTGAAATTGTTTTGTGTAAGCTAGCAGGTAGGACCTTAGTGAGTGGGTTGTAGGTGGCCTCAGACAGCTTGTGATGGTATCTGTCTTGAAACATGTTGCTGAGCAGTTGCCCCATTGCAGACGCTCTTGAGTGTTGAGGCTGCGGGGCCTGGCATCCCTGACACCTCTGCTTGCCCTGCTCTCAGAGGAGAGGAGGCGTAGGGAACGGGAGGACCAGATGTACCGTGAGCGGCTGCGCACCCTGTTTGTCATCGCTGTGGTCATGAGCCTGCTCAACGCGCTCAGCACCGGCGGGGGCAGCATTTCCTGGACTGACTTCGTCAACGAGATGCTGGCCAAGGGCGAGGTGCAGCGGGTCCAGGTGGTGCCTGAGAGTGATGTGGTGGAGGTCTACCTGCACCCTGGCGCCGTGGTGTTCGGGCGGCCTGTGAGTGAGTGTGGCTGGCCCCGCACATGTCTTACTTAAAGGGGTCCCCGGAAGCCGCCGGGGGTGGCCTGGGAGGAGGAACTCCCAGGGAGGCAGGCTTGTATACAGGCCCACGTACAGAAAGGGGCTGTGGATTGGGCAGGGCCTCGGCTGTGGCTCCCTGGCACTGGGCCTGAGGCCAGGGTGGTCTCGCTCGGTGGGTCTGGGCATGTATGTGGCTGGAGTGGGCTGGGGGCAGCAGCAGGGCCACTTGGGCAGATGCAGGTGAGTTGAGGTGACCAGGGATGTCCCGCGGCAGGACCTGACAGCCCTCTGGTGGCTAGGAGATAGGAGTCCGGCGCAGACTGGCCCCTGAGAGGAGGTACCAGAGGGACCCTGCTCACCTCACCACCTCAGGCACGCCCAGCAGAGAGCCAGCGTGGGCAGAGCTGGAGAGCAAGGCTTGCAGTTGACAGAGAGGGCTCTGCTGAGGGCTGAGGGGGTGGGACTGCGTGGGGCAGGGGTTGGGCGTCGGAGGCAGGCCCTCAGGCACATCGGCCCTAGGAGGTGGGTGTCTGGAGGCTGTGCATAGGCTACAGAACCTCGTGGGCAGGACTCACTCACCCTCTGTGGTCCTCCCTGTCTCCCAGATCACCTCTTCGTCCCCCAAAGAAGGGTCAGGTTGTCTTGAGGACATTTCTAAGCACTTCCTCCACTAGGGTCTTCCTGTTGCTTCTATGCTGGCTGCTTTGGTCATGTTTCAGGCCAGGGCCCTGTCTGGGCTTATGAGTCACATTTAGTTGTTGTGTGTCTGTAGCCTCCTTTCCATTTTTTGTTAAAAGTTTGGACAATGGGAAAACTAGATGGGTGGAATCATGCCTCTTCCTTGAGACTGAGAGGCCCCAGGCCTCCTGCTGTCCATTGGGTCTGCTCACCTGGAAAGCAGGTTCACTCCGAGTGGAGTGTTCCCTGCCTGGCAGCACACCACTCGGTGCTGGAGTGCGTCCTGTGCACACCCTGTCTCTGTTCTGGTTTCTGGATGGACCGTGTGTTTAGCGGAGTGCTCATCCTGCTTTAACTGTGGGCACAACCCGCCCAGGTTTCCCTTTCAGACCCGATGTCATGCATAGTGTTGACAGCTGGGTGTCAGTAGCTGGAGTGACAGGATCAACACAGTCTGTTAGACAGACAGCAAAAGTTAAATTTAAATCTCAGCACACAGCAGAGGTGAGGGGAGGTGACAGGCGCCACATGGTTCTGGGATGAGTGACCTGGTCCTCGTTGCAGAAGCAGCGATGGTGTTCATGCAGGTGGTCAAGGACATGTGGGAGTTGAATTGGCTCCCAGAATCACCCTTTTTGCTCTTCGGTCTTGATGCCGAAAGAGCCATTTCTGTGTTTTGCCCTTTTTTGCCAATTGGTGACCCTATTTACACGGCCAGGCGTCTGAGTGATGGAGGCCTGTGATGAAGTCCACAGCAAACTTTTGGGCTCTGGTGGGTTAATCCAGAAACCGAGGCCCCTGGGTGTTGGCATTCAGTGCACATCATGGCCAGTATGAGGTGCCTGGTGGGTCCCCTTGTGCTGCCCCTCATCTGGCCTTGTTATCCCACAGCGTGGAGCCTGGCTGGCTTCTCATTCCCCAAGGAATGTTTTGGGACTCCTAAGAGCCAGGGCATTGTTCAATCTAGATTCCGAGAGTGGGTTTAGAACAGTCCCACTGGTGCTCCTGCCCTTGTGGGCCACTCAGATGTTTGCTCTCAAGTGATTTCAGACCAGCCATGACGAATCTTACGACCAGGTCAGCTCACTGAGAAGTGATTTGGGGACCTGGCATGAGTCTTGGTCTGCTGCTGAAGCCTGCGTGCCTGGGGAGGTATTGCTCCAGGAAGCTGCCTGCTCCCTTGGTCTCCTCTCTATCCAGGAAGGTTTACTGAGAGAACACAAACAAACCAACCTTGGTTGAGCTTGGATCTGGCCACCGGCTAAACACAGCACTGGGTTCGTTGCCTCAGCACCCCCTATGGTCCCAGTCCAGTCCTGTGGCCCGTCATCGCGTCCCTGTTACGCACCCGTGGCCAGAGTCTGAGTCAGGACTTAAATGCAGATGCCACCCTCCGTTTCCTCAAAGCATTCCTGTTAGTGGAAACAGACAAGGCATTGACGTTTTGGAGTAATTGTGTTTGAGAAAACCGAAACTTTTTAGATGTGAAGTGGTTTCTGAATGGCAGGTGAGAGCCCCTGCCTCCAGGACCCTGAAGCTGTGTGTGCAGTGTGCTTGAGGATGGTTCTGGGGTCTGGGTCGGTGGCCTGTCCTGTCTGTCACTCTCACTGCCCCTCTGCTTTCAGAGGCTGGCCTTGATGTACCGGATGCAGGTGGCCAACATCGATAAGTTCGAAGAGAAGCTTCGAGCGGCTGAAGATGAGCTGAACATTGAAAGCAAGGACAGGATCCCGGTTTCCTATAAGCGTACAGGGTTCTTTGGAAAGTATGTTGGTTTGGGCTGGCGCCTGAACTGCTTTGTAGTGTGGGAAGCAAGCCGCAGTTACCTGAATACCCTTATGTGGGGGTGTGAGGTGCCTGGGGAGTCTGGAGGTCTGAGCCTGTCGGGGGTCGTCACTCTCCCTGGCCGCCTCTGGCATTTCTTCACTCAGCTCATGGTAGAGTTGCTGTCTTCTGCAAAGAGGAATGCAGAACAGAAACAGGCAGGAATGTCCAGTAGAGACTGTGGTTCCATGTAGCCGAGAAAAGTGGAGACACGTAGGCCACGGGACCTGTGGGCTCCTTAGTGGGAGTCCAGCATCACTGCTGTGGCTCGCTGAGCTGCGCACGGGACCCACCGTGGCTGCAGCCCGTGTGCAGAGGTGTGCCATTGGCTCGCTGACATGCCCAGGTTCCGCTAATGCCTTCGCCCCCAACCCCAGGAAGCGAGGGGTCTCTAAGTCTGCAGCCCTCTGGACTCTGGGTGCTTGGGGCTCAGGCTGGGGGTGACGTCCCCCAGGTGCAGGGCTGCTGCCGCTGCGCTTCCTGTCCTGAGACTTTTGCCTCACTGACCAAAATTGGAAGCAGAGCGTATGAAACTTGAGACTCGCTCCCGTTGGGTATTAATTACCGGGAGGCTCTGGGTGGCCAGGCCTGTGTGTGGTGTCAGCTGTTCTGGCGTCCGCCATGGCCAGGTGCTCTGTCTCCAGTGCTCTGTACCTTCTGACAGTTTGGGAGAACTCAATGAAGAGGGTGGTAGGTGAGGGCTAGACAAGGAAACCCATTTGCAGGATTGCCCGTGCCCTGACTTTGAGGCCTGTCTGTTGGTTGCCGCAGTGCAGCCAGGCCTGTAACCGCCTGTGTCTCTCACGCCAGTGCGCTCTATGCCTTGGGGATGACTGCAGTGGGCCTGGCCATCCTGTGGTATGTCTTCCGTCTGGCTGGAATGACAGGACGGGAAGGCGGATTCAGTGCTTTCGTAAGTCACACACATTACATCCTGCTGAACTTGTGATCGTGGAGTGGCCTGCCTGCCCTGGCTGGCCGGGTGCTCTCCCCATCCCCCATGCACGAGTGTGCCCTGAGACTGAACCTTGCAGTGGCCATCCCAGAGCCATAACTTAGCAGCTGGTCTTTCCATGGCTGACGGGAGCCTATGACTGAGGCCTCTCCCTCCAACTGGTGCTGCACTCAGGGAGTTTTAGGGCACTTTGCTCTGAGGTTTTTAACACCTGCTGGGCATGACTTTGTTTGGTTTCCCCTACTAGCTAACACTGAGAAATTTTTAAAAGTTGTCTTTACAAGAACAACCTAAACACAGTCTGGAAATACTCTCCTGCTGTGGCATTTGCTAGAGTGTTCACACTCTCTCCCCCCCGGGACTCAGTGGCAGAGTCCTTTGTCCGCAGAGGGCCAGAGCCCAATAGAAGCAATAGCCGCAGAGGGCAGCTCCTGGTCCCTCCTGGGAGCTGTGACAATCAGGGATGAGTGTCTGCAGCTAAAGGCTCACAGTCTCATTCGGTGGCAGTATGTCGTCTCCTTGGGGGTTGTCCTGAATCACATGCACCTGGTCTGCTAATTCTTGCCTACCTTCAGTTCATTTTTATTGTTGTTGTGTGTAAGTAGTGATGAATTCCATGCACATGCATCTTCCGAGCATCTATAGCTCAAGTTTACTCCCCTCACTAAAAGCGTTGTCTGTCTTGCTTGATGTCCAAAAGTTTACCAGTTAACATTTCTACCAAGACTCAGAGAATTGAGTGTTTTACATCACTTTTATGATCAGTAAAGGAAATTACATAGTAATGTGAAAAATCACATGGGCAAATAAGATAGTCTGAGCAGAAGATACTGTTAACTTGCCTGCTTTGTATAGGTTTGTGTTTTAAGGCAAATTGCTAGACGCTAGACAGCTTACTGTAAATAAGGTACAATAAACATTTCTCCATGCATGTCTGGAAGGTAAGCTTGACTGAATCTGTCTGAATGGACACCATTCCGTTCAGGTGTGGGCTGGCACTTCTGGCTGTGGGAGAAGGGCCGCGAAGGGCTGGGGGGACACAGCTGTTGCAGCTCCGAGGTGCACACACAGCTAGCACGGAGGAGCTCGTCTTCCCTCCCTGCTAGGTGCCCTTTGTCCTTCTGCCCAGAATCAGCTCAAAATGGCTCGTTTCACGATTGTGGATGGCAAGATGGGGAAAGGAGTCAGCTTCAAAGATGTAGCAGGAATGCATGAAGCCAAACTGGAAGTGGTGGAGTTCGTGGATTACCTGAAGGTGTGTGCACCTGCTGAGCAGGAGGCTGCTGCGGACACTGTCCCAGGGAGGGTTGCACTGCTCGGCCATGTGTAGAGGGCATGCATAGGCGTTGCCAGGAGGCCCACACCCCTCACTGGTGCATGGGAGCTGTTGGGGGCACCAAGGCTCCCAGTGCTCTCTGCTCTTCCCAGAACCTCACGGACTGCAGCCCCTTGGTGATGGTACATGAGCCGAGCTTCTTGCCAGTCCTTGAAATTTATCTCTGAAGCACCTGTGATAGGGTCACACATCTGCTTTTCTAGAGCCCAGAGCGCTTCCTTCAGCTGGGTGCCAAAGTTCCGAAGGGTGCGCTGTTGCTTGGCCCCCCTGGCTGTGGGAAGACGCTGCTCGCCAAGGCTGTGGCGACTGAGGCTCAGGTGCCCTTCCTGGCGATGGCTGGCCCGGAGTTTGTGGAGGTCATCGGAGGTAGGCATTGCTGGGGCTGGGGTTGGGCCACCAGCTTCTGTGCGGGCAGCCGAGCTGGTGAGGAGGGGGGATAGAACGTTACAGGTAGCAATGTTCAGGCAGGGTTGGGTGACAGTCTTTGAAGCCACTTCCACTTGGTGGCCTGGGGGGTTCAGGAGGATGAGACTGCCAGGGTGGCCACCCTGGCTCCCGCCTCAGTGGGCAGCTAGGGCTCTTCTTCCGCCACCTGTCTGCCTCCTGGTCCCCTGTTTCCTTCAGGCCTCGGCGCAGCCCGCGTGCGGAGCCTTTTCAAGGAAGCCCGGGCCCGGGCCCCCTGCATTGTGTACATTGATGAGATTGACGCTGTGGGCAAGAAGCGCTCTGCCAGCGTGTCCGGCTTCTCCAACACGGAGGAGGAGCAGACTCTCAACCAGCTTCTGGTGGAGATGGATGGTGAGTGCCCACTGCCAGTGTCCACTGGGGTGGGAAGTTCTAGGTGGACCGTGCTGCTCATGTTTACGGTTGCAGATTGTGTGTGGCACACACAGGTGTCTTTTCTCATGTCGCTGGTCTGCTGTTTCTCCAGCACAGCACCTGCCACAGGTGAGGATGCGGTCATCAGAGAGCTGTCCTAGCAGGTCCCAGCTAGAAACAAGGCCTGCTCAAGAGGTACCACCTGTCCTCTCTCTGCACTTAGGAAACACAGCTTTTCATTTTAAAGCTGAGGAATGGTAAACGAAGAGGGAGAACTAGGAATATGAGTGGCAGGTTGGGTTACCAGTGGTGTCGGGTCTGGGCCGTGCCCAGCTGGTCATGTGTGACATCTGCTGCCACTGGCAGGTGGGGCAGAGCCTGGAGTGGCTACGTGAGGGAGGTGCTATCAGCTGCTCTTGAAATGACCTCCAGACCTGCTTCCACACTGTTTCTTCTCATTAATGGACATGATCCACAAAGGTGGCGTCAAACTATTTTTCCTTCTGGCTACTTTTGTAAGCCCCCCCTCTTTTGATGTAGCTTTTGTGTGTTCTTACTGTGGTAAAACACACAACGTAAAGTTTACCATTGTAGCTGTTTTTAAGTGTGCAGTTCAGTGGTGTGAAGTACATTCCATTGCTGTGCAGTATCCACACACCTTTACTGTCGTCCCAGATAGACAGTCACCTAGAGGTGACGGCTCACCTCACTCGGCATCATGCCCTCCGGGTCCACCCGAGCTGCAGTGTGTCAGGATAACCACCCTCCTCAAGGCCAAGTGCTGGTCTGTGGTGTGGATGGACCCTGCCCTGTGTGTCTTCCACCTGCCACGGGCACGGGCGGCTGTCGTGAATCGTGCTGCTGGAACGTGGGCATGCAGATAGCTTTTGATTCCAGCTGTGTGGGGTCCAGTTTTAATTCTGATATGGTTCCTAGATCTTCTCGTGTCGCCCATGAGGGAGACACATTTCTCACCGAGCCTTTAGTTCTAAGAGAGCCATTGAATCGTGTACTGTTTTCCCTGTAAAGTGTCCTCACTGTTTGGGATGGAGTGTCTGTTGCCAGCATGTGGACGGCAGGCTTGGACTGTGACCAAGGCCAAAACCATGTGTAGCCTCTCATTTTGAAATAATTTCAGACTCACATAAGCAGTCAAGAGAGTGCCCTCTGACTCCCCCAAGCTTGCCGCAGGCTGGCACAGACATGATGACATGGGTTGTCCCCAAGGGTGGCCTCTTGCCCCTTGCCTGTGCCTCTTTGGCTGCAGGGTGAGTGTGGCCTCACATGTCCCATTTCCTCATCCCACTACTGCGTCTCCTCCAGCTGTGCCTGTTTTTGGGTCTCTGTGATGAGACACCTTCACAGGCCGTCCCTGTTTAATGGGATCTCCACATTGAGGCCATGCCATGTCTGCACGGTTGGGCCGCTCTTGTGCTCGTGGTGGGAATGCCGCTGCGTGCAGTATTGTAGCACCTGGCCCTGGTGCCGGCATCTGGACTGAGGTCGCCACATGGCGTGGTGAGGCCTTTTCTTGTGCCCTGTTGTGCAGGCCAGATGGACTGATGTGTGTGGGAGCATGTTGTAAGTTCTGAAAGCCCTTGGGGTTTAAGATGAAAGAGGCCTTCTGACAGCTGAGGAGGGTGCTGCCAGCGGGCCACTAGAAAGGCAGTTGCACCCAGAGCTGCCCCACCACCCTCTCCCTCTGCCGTTTAGCATTGTCTGCACAGGGACTGTTTATGGCATAAGTGGCAAGGGCTGAAGAGTCTCCATCCCTTGAAGAGCAAATCTTTCCGGGAAGGATGTTTCCAGAGAGCTCAGGGTCCTTGGATGTGTAAACTGAGTTGGGCTCAGACTCTGAAGGTAGCTGTTGAGAAAGACACCCTCAGACAGGGCCCTTCAAGAGCACCTTCCCAGGGAGCCCTTGTCCCACACCGCTTTTCTGGGGGCATGTGTGCTAGACCCGGCTCTGACTGCTCCCCCTGTCGCATGCCCCAGTTGTGATCAGCTAGACCTGCTGTTTTGTAGTTTGAGATGTTATCCTCTGGGGTCCTGAGCTTCTAAGAAGTCATATCACATTGTATCTCTTTTGAATGACTTTACGTGGTGTTTCTCCTGCATGTGGCTTTGTGATTGCTTCTGTGGGTGGTTTTAGAGTCCGGGAGAAGTACAGAAGCCCTCCAGGGTTCTGGCCACAGGGTCTCGTGACCCTTGAGGGTCAAGCGGGTGGCAGCTGCCATGGGCTGGGCCTGGAGAGGTCAATCCTTCAGCTGTGACAGAGCACACAGGGGCCAGCACCCAGCAGTCGAGTCTCTGCTCTCCAAAGTGCCAGGTTTTAATGATAACTTCTGGTTGACTTCTTAAAAGAATGAATAATATTTGTGGTACAGGCAGGCCTTGGAGGTCTTACAGAGCGGGTCGGATGGGCACTTTGGCAGCCAGAACACAGTCTGTTGTCTGTTGAGTGCGTGGTAGCCTCGTGCCTGAATGCGCTGTGTGCCCGCCTCAGTTAGAAACACTTTGCTACAAATGCCTCTGGGCCTTCAGCGAGTCGTGCTCTTTTCACTGGGGGGGTCTTGTCCTGCTATGAATGGCGGCTGATCGGGGGGTGGTTGCTGAAGGCTGGGGTGGCCGTGGCCTTTTCCTAAAATAGGACAGTGAAGTTTGCCACATCGATGCCTTCTTCCTGTAATGAACAACTTTTCTAGCCTGCGATGCTGTTTGGTAGCATTTTGCCCACAGCAGGACTTCCAGCATTGAGGTCAGTCCTCTCAAACCTGCCGCCAGTAGACATGCCAGATGCAGGGTTGCTGCCAACCTTCCATTTGTAGAACTGCAGTGCCTGCGAAGTGCAGTGAAAGGGAGTTTGCCTACATACGAGGACAAGGGAGGACTTTTTGAAGGTTGTCAGATGACTAGTGGGCTGAGCAGACTTGATGTGTCCTCAAGTCCCAATGTCTGGCAGGTGGAGTAACGTTCACACTTGGCCTTCAGCTCCTGTAGGTGCCCATCTACTTGTTGGGCCTCCGCTCGTGGGCTGTGGAGGGACGTTGTGGGGTGCATGCCAGTCCCCTTGTCCCTGAGCCCTGTTTTATGGTGTGTAAAATAGTGGCAAAGTGCATGGTCTGGCCTCTGATTTTGAGATTGGTGTGTGGTAGAGTGCCATTCCAGGCGGTGGGGGATTCCCAGGTAAGGCTCCACGTGCTATCAGCTGCTCTTGAAATGACCTCCAGACCTGCTTCCACACTGTTTCTTCTCATTAATGGACATGATCCACAAAGGTGGCGTCAAACTATTTTTCCTTCTGGCTACTTTTGTAAGCCCCCCCTCTTTTGATGTAGCTTTTGTGTGTTCTTACTGTGGTAAAACACACAACGTAAAGTTTACCATTGTAGCTGTTTTTAAGTGTGCAGTTCAGTGGTGTGAAGTACATTCCATTGCTGTGCAGTATCCACACACCTTTACTGTCGTCCCAGATAGACAGTCACCTAGAGGTGACGGCTCACCTCACTCGGCATCATGCCCTCCGGGTCCACCCGAGCTGCAGTGTGTCAGGATAACCACCCTCCTCAAGGCCAAGTGCTGGTCTGTGGTGTGGATGGACCCTGCCCTGTGTGTCTTCCACCTGCCACGGGCACGGGCGGCTGTCGTGAATCGTGCTGCTGGAACGTGGGCATGCAGATAGCTTTTGATTCCAGCTGTGTGGGGTCCAGTTTTAATTCTGATATGGTTCCTAGATCTTCTCGTGTCGCCCATGAGGGAGACACATTTCTCACCGAGCCTTTAGTTCTAAGAGAGCCATTGAATCGTGTACTGTTTTCCCTGTAAAGTGTCCTCACTGTTTGGGATGGAGTGTCTGTTGCCAGCATGTGGACGGCAGGCTTGGACTGTGACCAAGGCCAAAACCATGTGTAGCCTCTCATTTTGAAATAATTTCAGACTCACATAAGCAGTCAAGAGAGTGCCCTCTGACTCCCCCAAGCTTGCCGCAGGCTGGCACAGACATGATGACATGGGTTGTCCCCAAGGGTGGCCTCTTGCCCCTTGCCTGTGCCTCTTTGGCTGCAGGGTGAGTGTGGCCTCACATGTCCCATTTCCTCATCCCACTACTGCGTCTCCTCCAGCTGTGCCTGTTTTTGGGTCTCTGTGATGAGACACCTTCACAGGCCGTCCCTGTTTAATGGGATCTCCACATTGAGGCCATGCCATGTCTGCACGGTTGGGCCGCTCTTGTGCTCGTGGTGGGAATGCCGCTGCGTGCAGTATTGTAGCACCTGGCCCTGGTGCCGGCATCTGGACTGAGGTCGCCACATGGCGTGGTGAGGCCTTTTCTTGTGCCCTGTTGTGCAGGCCAGATGGACTGATGTGTGTGGGAGCATGTTGTAAGTTCTGAAAGCCCTTGGGGTTTAAGATGAAAGAGGCCTTCTGACAGCTGAGGAGGGTGCTGCCAGCGGGCCACTAGAAAGGCAGTTGCACCCAGAGCTGCCCCACCACCCTCTCCCTCTGCCGTTTAGCATTGTCTGCACAGGGACTGTTTATGGCATAAGTGGCAAGGGCTGAAGAGTCTCCATCCCTTGAAGAGCAAATCTTTCCGGGAAGGATGTTTCCAGAGAGCTCAGGGTCCTTGGATGTGTAAACTGAGTTGGGCTCAGACTCTGAAGGTAGCTGTTGAGAAAGACACCCTCAGACAGGGCCCTTCAAGAGCACCTTCCCAGGGAGCCCTTGTCCCACACCGCTTTTCTGGGGGCATGTGTGCTAGACCCGGCTCTGACTGCTCCCCCTGTCGCATGCCCCAGTTGTGATCAGCTAGACCTGCTGTTTTGTAGTTTGAGATGTTATCCTCTGGGGTCCTGAGCTTCTAAGAAGTCATATCACATTGTATCTCTTTTGAATGACTTTACGTGGTGTTTCTCCTGCATGTGGCTTTGTGATTGCTTCTGTGGGTGGTTTTAGAGTCCGGGAGAAGTACAGAAGCCCTCCAGGGTTCTGGCCACAGGGTCTCGTGACCCTTGAGGGTCAAGCGGGTGGCAGCTGCCATGGGCTGGGCCTGGAGAGGTCAATCCTTCAGCTGTGACAGAGCACACAGGGGCCAGCACCCAGCAGTCGAGTCTCTGCTCTCCAAAGTGCCAGGTTTTAATGATAACTTCTGGTTGACTTCTTAAAAGAATGAATAATATTTGTGGTACAGGCAGGCCTTGGAGGTCTTACAGAGCGGGTCGGATGGGCACTTTGGCAGCCAGAACACAGTCTGTTGTCTGTTGAGTGCGTGGTAGCCTCGTGCCTGAATGCGCTGTGTGCCCGCCTCAGTTAGAAACACTTTGCTACAAATGCCTCTGGGCCTTCAGCGAGTCGTGCTCTTTTCACTGGGGGGGTCTTGTCCTGCTATGAATGGCGGCTGATCGGGGGGTGGTTGCTGAAGGCTGGGGTGGCCGTGGCCTTTTCCTAAAATAGGACAGTGAAGTTTGCCACATCGATGCCTTCTTCCTGTAATGAACAACTTTTCTAGCCTGCGATGCTGTTTGGTAGCATTTTGCCCACAGCAGGACTTCCAGCATTGAGGTCAGTCCTCTCAAACCTGCCGCCAGTAGACATGCCAGATGCAGGGTTGCTGCCAACCTTCCATTTGTAGAACTGCAGTGCCTGCGAAGTGCAGTGAAAGGGAGTTTGCCTACATACGAGGACAAGGGAGGACTTTTTGAAGGTTGTCAGATGACTAGTGGGCTGAGCAGACTTGATGTGTCCTCAAGTCCCAATGTCTGGCAGGTGGAGTAACATTCACACTTGGCCTTCAGCTCCTGTAGGTGCCCATCTACTTGTTGGGCCTCCGCTCGTGGGCTGTGGAGGGACGTTGTGGGGTGCATGCCAGTCCCCTTGTCCCTGAGCCCTGTTTTATGGTGTGTAAAATAGTGGCAAAGTGCATGGTCTGGCCTCTGATTTTGAGATTGGTGTGTGGTAGAGTGCCATTCCAGGCGGTGGGGGATTCCCAGGTAAGGCTCCACGCGGCTCTCACGGAGCCCTCGGCACTGCCTGCATATGTGGCTTCTTGCACTGGAGGACAGACACGACCTGTTTGGGCATCTCGCCCATCAGGAAGCGTTGGCCAGATGGCAGCTTGCTCTGAGCCAAACCCCTCTGCTGGTGTGAGAGAGCTGCTTCCGCCCCAGGACTTGATCGTGCCTGGGAACCCCTGACATGCAAGGCCAGCAGCTAATGAGCCCTTTTGTAGCAGACACAGCCGAGCATTCTCAGCCCCTCGGTATGTCTGGGAGCCTCTGTTTTCTTGGGGGCGCAGTCTGCTCATTGACGTGCAGAGCACGGAGCAGATGCCGTGCTGGTCGTGGGAAAAGCGCACCAGGGAAGAGGAATCCTGGTTCTTGGGTCAGGCAGAGGTGGCCAAACATGGGACTGTCCCTGCGCCCCAGGGTGTGGGCCCCACCTGGCTGAGTCGTCTGTGGACAGTCGCCACTTGACAGTTGCTCTGCAGAAAGGCTTTGCACCGTGTGCTGCGCAGCGGGTGTTGTGTCTCAGCTGCACCGGGAGTATGAGGGCTGTGGACTCTTGGTTCTGCACAGTCTTTAGGACCTGCTGCCATTCATGGGAACTTTTTCCTGTTGACCTGTGCCCCACTATAAGCTGTAAGGCTGTGGTTGGGGTTCATTTTTGCCTGCAGATGGTTGGCCAATGGCCTTAGTACCATCTGTTGAAAACACTGTCCTTTCTCCACTGAACTGCTTTGGTGTTTTGTCAGAGCTTAGCTGGGTGTGTTTGAGTCTGTTTCTGGCTCTCAAGGTGTTGGTCTATGAGTCTGTCCCTCCACCACATTACAGCCTTGTCCCCAAGCTACACATTGGGCCTGAAAGGAGGGTCAAGTGCCCCCCCCCGCTTAGCTCTTCCTGCCCAGCATTGCTGAGGCTGTTCTTTGCCCCCACATAATTTTTAGGATAAGCTTGTCCGTAACATCAACCTTAAAAATGGAAGTTATTTTATCAGCATAAATGGGTTTAGCAGACAGCAGAGAATTGCCACTGGGGACATAGGCCAGTTCCACAAAGGAAAGGAACCTGCCTTTGTGGAGGAGGAGGATCAGAGGGGCTGCTTGCGGGAAGCCTGTTGGAGGAAAGCCGGGGTCTAGGGACGACCACAGGGGTGCCATGCGGACCTTTCCCCCTCAGCGGGTTGCTGTTCCCCTGCCCCAGTCATCCAGGTGGAGGGGGGCGGCCCCCCTTCTGGCCTCCCACTCCATTTTGAGGAGACTTCCCTCTACTAATTTTAGCAACACCTGCCAAAAAGCCTTGCTGTGATACCGGGAGGCGCACACCCGGTAGGCTAGGGGATCCAGAATCGTGGCAGTACCTCATGCTGGTGAGGACGTGAGCCTGGATTCCCATCTTGCGAGCCTGGGCTGGGCACAGATTGAGTGCAAGTAGCCGCAACAGCACAGCTCAGGGAGATGGGAGCTGATGCAGCGCTGGTGGGGTGTGAACAGTGCAGCTGCCCCAGGAACAGCCGTTAGCTTCTGACGGGCTAAACGTACGAGCAGCAGGTACCACCGTCGGGTGCTCATCCCAGAGCAGGGGCACTCGGCCCTGTGCACCAGTGCCCGTGTGTCTGTAATGGCTGAACGCCGGGAACAGCCCAGCTGTCCTTCAGTGGAGCTCCATGTGCTGTCGTGGGGAGTTCCCTGTTGTGGGGGCCCCTGTCGTGCTCAGCGCCACACAGGGGAATCGTGCGGACAGAGCCAAGCTCAACAGGCCTCAAGTATGATTGAGTTTACGTGAGGTTGGAGGACAGGTGAGTGTTTGACTGCAGTTAGAAAGGTGGGGATGGGGAGTGCTTGAGGGATGTTGTTGGTGGGGAGTCTGTCTCGAGTGAGGGGGAGGTTACCGAATCTGCATATGATAAAATTACAGAGAAATGAGTCCATTTGAGATTGGGGCATCTGTAGGGCATGTGGCTGTCTGGCCTTGGACTCCTTGTGATGCAAGCCAGCCAAGAGGACCTCTCTGTCCTGCCTCTGCAGCCTGCTGCCTATCTGTAACTGTCAAAATACAAAGTCTCTAAAATGTAATGACCCAGCCCCAGAAGGCCTGTGTCCTGTAGTCCTGTGACCCTCACAGGCATGGAGCGAGGGGCAGCCCCTGGGCGGCAGAGGTTGGCCGTGAGGGTGGACCTCGCTCACACTGCGTTCACCCTGGTCTTGCTGCGGTTTTCTTCACCCATTGTTCCCACTGTTTTCAGCATTTTTTCACTGTTTATGTAACTTCAGAATTCGGTATTCACAGCCTCGGCTGTAGAAGGAAAGAAAGCCTCTCAGAAATCTGCCATGTGCCCTGGAAGTGCTACCACTGGTTCTCGGCCCCTTTTGTCCCAGGGGACCTGGGAGTAAAGCTATGTCTGTCCAGGGCCTCTGCCTCCAGCCAGCCCCTTGTTCTCATGGCAGAGCTTCACCTTCCTAAAACTGACATACCTGCTGGGTGCCTGAGTTTCTCTTAAAAGTCAGGGTTGTCCTAAGACTTCACCTCTGTGTCACTAGAGGGGATGTCCTGCTGTACCCCGTCTTGACACAAGTGAGACTGACTCCTCGTGGAGTTCTGACAGTCACATCCCAGGGTGCAGAACCCCAGCCAGTGATGTCTCAGCTGTGAGAGCTGATCTTTGACGTTCCACGGTGATTTCCTCAGGCCTGGGAGCGGGCTGTGCCGTCCTGCTAGCTGCTGCTCCGTAATGGGATCTGGCCTGGTGTGCTCTCCCCAGCTCCTGGCTGCCATCACAGGACCTGGGGTGGAGTGATGACATCCTGCTGACAGTTGTCAGGGCTTAATTCTGTAATATTTCTTCTAAATCTCACTTTTTAAAAAAATTTTCACTGTTAAAAAGATTTTGTAGGTGGTTTAAAATTTTATTTGTGAATTTATTAGGGACTTTTTAAAAGTTAGCTAAAGATAGATCATGGCATCTTTATTTTTGAACTGTGTAATAGAACTTTCCAATGTCCACAAAGGCAGAGAGAGACATGCGTTAGCCTGTGTCCCAGGCTACCTTGGGTCCCAGCCGTCCACACCTTCTCCAGTCCACCCAGTGGGTTATTTTAAAGCAAACCCAAAGCTCTGAATCCCACATTCTCTGAATGCTACACCCTCTGAAAGTATTTCTTTACCTTCAGAAAATACTTAAGCACTTTAAAACACTGATTAAAAATAAACTCTTTGTACTACCTAATACGCAGTCTTCTGCAGCTCTTTATTCAAATTAGCATCCAGACAACGCCCACACACAGATCTGGGCAATCCTGACGGTTTTTGGACTTGCCTTTAAACTGTGTGTGAGAAACCTGGGGCCTAGAACCTAGGCAGGCCTTCAGGCCAAGCGTTAGAGACATCATGTCCCCTGAGCCCCCAGAGGTCTCTGTGGCCTAAGGAAGTTCCGTGAAGGCGTGAATCGCCCTCCCAGCTCCCCAGCTCCTGCTGTCAGTCTCGTTTTGGAGAAACACGGTTCCCTCCGGATGCTGCCTGGACTCAGGGGGGCCGCAGGGCGCAGCTTTGTCAGCGGTTCGGCCTCTGGAGGCCTGGGGAGATAAAATGGGTGAATTCTTGCTGTCCTGTCAATATTTGGGTGGAAAATGCTCAGGGCAGTTAAGGTGTTGGGTCAGCTTTCCTTCCCAGGGACCCCAACAGGAATCTCGCCCATCTTGTACTGGAAAGGGAAGGCCTTCGTGATGGGGACCCCAACCCTCACGGCCGACATCTGTCCCTCCAGGAATGGGCACTACCGACCATGTCATTGTCCTGGCGTCCACCAACCGGGCTGACATTTTGGACGGCGCTCTGCTGAGGCCAGGCCGGCTGGACCGACACGTCTTCATTGACCTGCCCACGCTACAGGTCAGTGTGGCCTGGGGCAGCCCTCTGGGACCCAGAGGCGGCCGTGTGCTCCTCTGGACTTGCCGCTCTTCGCAGGGATCGTCTTTGTGATCTGCACTGTCCTCTCTTTACCCTTGAGCTCTGGGTTGAGCGGACCCGACTAGGTCAAGCTCTGTAGCAAGCCCATTAAGAGTCTCAGGATTTTCACCCTGACCCCGCAAGCCCTCAGGTGCCACATGGTGTCAGAACTGTGCCATGTGGCTGCCCTGAAAGTGGGTGGAAGAGGGTGGGAGCCCTGGTGACCTCTTGGCCCTGCCAGCCTCCTTGTCTCAGGCCTCCGGATGGATGCTACCTCCTGGCAGTCAGGCCTTCACAGTGGCCCCTGCGTGCCGTGATGAGGATTGTGTGTGGTGCGGCCCCAGCGTGATAGGGGAAAGGGCTGAGAGAGTGAAGGGAAGGGAAAGCTGCCTAGCTGGCTAACAGTCCCATAGGCACCGGTGCAGGGGCACGGGGTAGTTGTGGGTTAGGCTCTGTGGTCAGTGTTCTCAGAGGCACTGAGCCCCCTCGGGGTCAGAGCGTGCAGGGCACACACTGTCGAGCTCTACAAGGTGTGCTGCATGTGTGAGCTGCACTGTGTTGACAATTCTGTCCCCTTCTTCCCTTCCTTTTTGAACTGCCGCTTGCACCTCTGGCCTGGTTTCACAAGCCATGGGTCATGCTGAAGGAGGGACTGATGGGACCACCCGGTCCCTGGCCCACACTTGCTCTTCCTCCTGTCTGGCAGGAGAGGCGGGAGATTTTCGAGCAGCACCTGAAGAGCCTGAAGCTGACTCAGGCCAGCAGCTTTTACTCCCAGCGCCTGGCGGAGCTGACCCCGGGCTTCAGTGGTATGCAGGCTGCCCAAGGGTCCCGGAGGTGGAGGGCAGCTGGCCTTCCTGCGAGTGTGTGTGGCAGTCAGCATGCTTGGGTGGGAGAGGTGGGCCGCGCAGGAGGAGAGGACCCCACAGCACTGCTGGTCCTCTGTGAAGGGGGCACCCCATGGGCTATGTGCAGGCAGCCATGCTGCATCCCACGCTGCTTTGCAGCCCTGCCACTGCATGACCCACCACCCCCTCTGGCTAGTTTTAATTCATTCAGTAGAGCCAGGTTACATACCAAAATAGTTTTCTGCATGGCTCTCATTTAGTGTCAGCAAAATCCCTTTTATTATGATAAAATTTCTTCCCTTGGACTCTTTAACATCCTGAATGAATTCAGGGATATTGGGTGCCTGGAATTCCTTCCCATCATTGTGTACATGAGCTGTTGAGTGAAATAAACTGGGAGCTAGCAGATTGCTGATGAGTTCTAAAGCTCAGCGGGGAGGCAGGCGGGCATCAGGGAGGGCGGGAGCAGGTGGGTCTTGGTGTCTGTCAGTGGCAGGAAGTGGCCCCCGTCCAGAGTACTGCTCCCCGCTAAGGATCCCTGTGCCTGAGCACCCGCCTTCCTGTCCCTGGGGAGTCCCTGAGGGAGCAGAATCTCCTGCCGTGTGCTCACAGGGGCCGACATTGCCAACATCTGTAACGAGGCTGCGCTGCACGCCGCCCGGGAAGGGCACTCGTCCGTCCACACGTTTGACTTCGAGTACGCCGTGGAGCGTGTCATTGCCGGTAGGAGGGGGTGTTCTTGGCAGGGCTGGGTCCCCATAACCACCTTGACAGAAGGTGGGATGTTGGGAGCCAGGTCAGGTCTAGATGCTGCCTGGTGGAGGTGATTAGCAAGCCGTTCTTGGACAGGAGGGGAAATTCGCAAAGTATTTCTATGTTTTTAAGTCAGATCTTTACAGTGTGACTTTCCGTGACTTTAAAATACTGTAAACTTGCCTAAGGCACTCTGAACAGCTAGAAATATAAAAGGCTTACAGACCCCACAATGAGTGGTGTTTGGCTCGTCAGCCATCCTGTGCTGCAGGTCATGCTGGGCACCATCTCTATTGGGGGGCCAGCAGGGGTGACTGCCCTGACCTGCGCTCCACTGGCTCAGCATGCTTCTGCTTGGAATGGGCACAGGAGAGGCCCTCTGAAGTGAGTGGCTTGACCATCGCTGCTCAAGGTGGGGTTCGTGGCTTCTGTGAGGAGAGCAGGACTGAAACTGGAAGCATCTAGAAGCTTCCAGTGGCAACATCGAAACATCACCTGTGAGTCTCATCCTTGAACAGAGTTCAGGCCGAAGTATCAGTCCATGACATTGAAGATTTCCCAGAGATACTGAGATGTGCGGGCCCCGTGTCTAGAGGCGGACGCTCTGCTGTGAGTAGCCCTGGCAGGATGCGTGTTCCTGGCACCTCAGTTTGAGTTAAATCCAGGACAGAGGCTGCCACCAGGCTGCAGCTTGGGAACACAGTGGAGTTGGTGCGCAAGGGACTAAAGTTGCTGTTCCTTGCTGCAAATTCGAATTTTGATAAGCCATTTATTTCTACAGGGAAGTTGGTAAGCTTATACTAACTGTCAAAGCAGGGAAGGTAGAAGACAGTGCTGGCAGAAGCCAGACACGTTCTCCAGGCCCTACTCCATTGTGCCTCCCGACTAGAGCACATCTGGGTCCAGCAAAGCCTGTCCTGCCCTCTCGTGTTCGGATGCTCCCAGATTGGCTCTGGTTGAAATGGTTCATTGGCCACAGCCAGTGCACCTTGGTAGCCTTACACTAAGTGGGGGGGATCCTGGCAGCATGCTCTACTGAACGCCCTTGAGCCTGAGCTTATTCTACAAAGTGGAAACTTAGAAATGGAAAATCCGGGGTGGGGAATGAAACCTCAGCAGCAGTTTGAGCAGGGTGTGTAATGCAGAGCCAGTTGGGTGGCAGAGCCGCCTGCTCAGAGATGGGAGAGAACCGTGGGGTGCTCGGAGCTGCAGCCACCCCTACTTGTCTGAGGCAACACCCGCAGCCCTGGAGGGCACACTGGAGGGGCTGCCGTGCTCCTAAAGCCTTTGCAAGCTGTTGGGTTACACCAGCATTTGTAGAAGAAACAGATGGCCCCACCAACTTCTCTCTGGCCTAATGAGCTTCCCTTCAAATGGAGGAACATAGGAAGGAGGAGTTCTGGGCGGCTGTGGGAGGCAAACGTCCGGTGACAACCTTGCTTTGATGACACAGGCTGAGGCAAAGCCACACAAGGCCAAGGGCATCTGTGCCTGGACTCAGGTTCTGGGCGTTCTTTCAGGGGCTGCCAGGAAGAGCAGGGTCCTCTCGAGGGAAGAGCAGAAGGTGGTGGCATTTCACGAGTCAGGCCATGCTTTGGTCGGCTGGCTGCTAGAGCACACGGAGGCTGTGATGAAGGTGTGTGCTGGCGGCGCGAGCCGGGGGGGCCTGGGGTCTTGGCAGGCGTGAGCCAGTGGTCCCTGTGCAAGCCCGACTGAGGAAGCTCAGTGAGGACAGGGTGCAGCCTGGGGCCCTGGGAGCAGGTGGGAGGTTCCCTTGTTCTGGGCACAGTTGGCGGGGTGGGGGGTCTTTCATCTCAACCAGTGGGCTCCATTTATGGGCATGACCAACGGAAAGCCATGTGATGACTTGGGGACTCACTGCCCTATCGACACACTCAGTCTTGAGATCAAGAATTGCCAGATTTATCGTCAGTGTTTAAATGTGTTAATTCAGTGGCTCCTAAGCTTAAAAAGAAGTAAATTGAGTACACACTTTTAAAGACGTTACTTTGTAGACGTGAACTTGATGAAAATTTGTTAGTGTCAAATAGTAAGATCAAACACTCCCCCAAAATGTGTGGATTTGTGATCAGGAGATCCTCGAGTGATCATTTAGGGTAAATGTAAAATGTGGGATGTGGGTGTCCAGCCTGTAAAGTTGAGGGTGTGGATTTAATTCTGCTACCCCACTACCCCACCCCAAGATAGACTCACCACACTGGGAAGGAGACACACTGCAGTTCGAAAAATGGACCGATTGCAGTCGCCTGCCTGATAGGGAGGTGTTAGCGGTAGCAAAGCAGACTGGTGGTCCAGTCACGCTTGATGTCTGCTGACAAGGCAGCTTCCGTGTGTGGCTCGAGGTGGGAGTCTAGTCTGGGACAGACGGCAGATGCCGTGGCCGGTGAGGGGGTCCAGGCCGCCCCCTGCAAGTCTGGCAGATAGTCACTGTGGGTGTGACAGTTACAGAACACTGAAAAATTTAGTTATCAATATGTATTATTTTAGTGTAACATCTCAAAAAGAAAATTTAGAAAAATCCATGACGAAGTAGAATCGTCATTTAAAATTTCCTTTTCTGAAAGTTTTCACTGCATTTGATGGCTAAAAGGTAAATTAGTCATAGTGAGAACCCCGCCCCTTCCAAGGCTGGGCGCTCCAAGGGGAAGGCGAAAGGCTCCAGCACGAATTCGGCCTTTAGAGTGTAATACTTCAGTGTTAGATGTCGGCTCTTCAGATGCTTGGGTGCCGTCCGGGGCCACCCAGCTGCCGTGACCCGCGGGCACAGCACTGCCACCCTGAGTCTCTCGTGGCTCGCAGGGCAGGTCCTGTTCTGTGCAGGCGGAGCCGCTGCATATGCCTGCTGTCGGGTAAAGGCAAGTGCCACGCCCTGGCAGAGCTGATCCTTGGCCTCGTGGCTGGCTTCTCTCACAAGGCCCTGTGTTGTCCTGTACTTCATATGTACATAGTTGTGCAGGGGGGACACTCAGCAGCGTGGGAGCCATTGTCCTTTAATGATAGGGTCTCCTTTGTTGTGAAAGTGGATTAACTGCTTGAAAACCCTGCAATTAAATGCTGCCTACTTCACCTTCGAAGCCCCAGCCAGCCTGTTAACTCCTGCCCACCGAATTCCTCAGGTCTCCATCACGCCACGGACAAACGCCGCGCTGGGCTTCGCTCAGATGCTGCCACGAGACCAACACCTCTTCACCAGGGAGCAGCTGTTCGAGCGCATGTGCATGGCCCTGGGCGGCCGTGCGTCTGAGAGCATCTCCTTCAACAGAGTCACCTCTGGTGAGGAGCGGCCATGTGGGGCCTGGAGTCACCCCAGTACTCTGACAGCCACAGCCCCTCCTGCAGCTGGTCGGCGGTGGAATCTGAACTGTAGGGTGGAATGTGAACATACGGTTGCATTCATCACGTGAATCATTAGGGAGATAGGGAACTCAGTCACACAGTGTGAATGCGTGTACCTGGTTAATTTTTGGGAACCACTACAGGAAACCGACTACATTTCCAGCAATCTCAGTTCTCAAGCTTCTGTTTCCCGGGGTGTCCAGAGAAGGAGCAGAGTGTCCCTGCTTGTGCCCAGTGACACTAGACATGTTGATAGGCGTGCCCCATGCTGGTGAGGGGTCCCAGATACACGTCCCAAGTCATTTTTAAACAAGAGCATGTTCAAGAGTTTTGAGGCTCTCTTAAGGAGCAGCGTGAGGCCCCAGCTGTCCCCTGGGTGCTCTGCATCTGCTGTAGGCCCCGGGCTGTGCCGCGGCATCAGTAGGGTGCCCTGACCCGCACTGCCAGGACAGAAGCCTCTTTTCTTGACCCCACACTGCAGGGGCGCAGGATGACCTGAAGAAGGTCACACGCATTGCCTACTCCATGGTGAGGCAGTTTGGGATGGCGCCGCGCATCGGGCCCATCTCCTTTCCCGAGGCACAGGAGGGCCTCACAGGCTTCGGACGGCGCCCCTTCAGCCAGGGCCTCCAGCAGATGATGGATCACGTGAGTCTGCCCTGCCCATCCTGTGCTACAGTGGTATTAGGAGACAGGTCCCACATGCTGGCGCTGTGCCCTGTGCCACAGCTCTGTATCGGAGAGGACCAGCCACTGCGCTGAGCCGAGAGCTCAGTGGTGTGGCCCCCGAGTCGGGCTGTTCCTCCTGGCGTCTGCTGCCGCTCTGACCTGCTGAGTGTTGGTCCCTGGATGAGGACCCGTGTGCTCCTGAAGAAACTGGGGAAGGCCCAGCTGTGACCAGGATAAACTCAGTGCCTGGTAGAACCAGCACCCAGGGATGCACTGTACCGTCCACATGAGACTTGGCCTGTTTTGAGGCAGCCCTGGTTTGGGTCTGGTTAGTGAGTGAGGCATCGCAGGGTCCCTGGCCCCCAGCAGCTGGCAGGGATCAGTGTGAGTAGGTGGTGGCTGGTATCTTGAACTGGGGTGTCCCCACAGATGCCCAGGGAACTGTGCTGACTCTGAGCCCCACGGACTGCGTTCCTGGCACTGTGGTTCTCTTTCTGGGGCCAGGACCAGGCATAGCTGATGCTGTGCATACAGGCCAGCGGGCCTTGCTCATTACTGAGCTGCTCTTTCACTCACAGGAGGCGAAGCTGCTGGTGGCAAAGGCCTACAGGCACACCGAGCAGGTGCTGCAGGCCAACCTGGACAAGCTGCAGGCGGTGAGAGCCCCCTTCCTGACCTCCAGGTCCGCTATCCCCTCACTGCGCTGTGTTGACACAGCCTGTTGCACCCTCGTGGAGAATTCCAAATGCACATAGAACTACACAGAACAACATAACCAAAGTGTTTCCCCAACTCCACTGAAATCTTACCGTTGTCCACACTTTTTAAGCTTTTTATTATGACTGCATCAAGCCTATTCCTCCAGAGCAGACAGGCGTGTAGTAAGCCTTCCTGTGCCCACTACCCGGCCTTGCGTTTGCCAGTGTTACTGTTTTGTTTAATCTTTGCCCACCTCTTAAACTTTTCCTGGAATTTAAGCAATTATGAAGTTTAGCATGGTCTAGACATGTTGATTATAGAAGAGCTGCAGTACAGTACAGGGTTAACACCCTCCATCAGTGGCATGCTCACAGTGCGCCAAGCCAGTGTTGGTGTGTTTGTACTAACGGTTGGCTCTTGGCTTCCTCGGCGCCACCTCTTGTCCCCTTTCTACCCAGGGTCCCACACACATGTAGGCTCACATCCCCTCATCTGGGTGGGGCTGCTGCTCCTTCGGCTGACAGCTGTGGCCATTTGGGGAGTCTGGGCTGGTGTGTAGAACGTCTCCCTGTTGGGGTCTGGCTGGTGTTCTCACAGTGAGCCTGGGCTGTTGGTATGGGGAAGGTGACTGTCGAAGTGGAGTTGGCTGTGTTCCTAGCAGAGGTGGGCAGCTCTCTGTGGACGGGCCATTGTCCCCACTTTGTTTCCTGAAAGTGAGGCAGCGGCTCCTCCAGGCCAGGCTTCATGGGCGTTGGTGCCCCAGGCCAGCACAGCCTCACCAGGAGCTGTGCTCAGTGAGAACCTCAGGCCTGCCCAGACCGGACGAACCAAGACCTGCTGTTAGCAGCATCTCTGTCTCCACTGCACAGCCAGACGTGAGCTCCTGTGGTGGCCGAGGATGACTTACCTCTGGTCTGCACAATGTGCTCACAGCCAGTGGCCGCGGAGTGTAGGGCTGTCAGAGCAGCGAGTGAAGGAAGCTTCTTGTGGGCAGGTCTGAGCCAGCAGAGACGGGCTGCTGGCGAGGGCGCTCACAGGCTCGAGCGGGCATGTTTCCCAAGGCCGCAATGGGACACAGAGGCTGCCTTCCTGTTTGCAAGGTCCCGGTCCCACTCACCCCCAGCCCTCCCTCCCAGGGCCATCAGGGCGGGGGTCCACATCTCAGTCTTCCAGTCCTCACACTCAGACACACACACTTTGGTAAAGGAAGGTGAAGATGCCCAAAGTAAGCGGAGATTCGTGAGGGAAGTGGAGAAATGAATGAGGCTGGCAGGTGGAATCAGCTCCCGGGTTGAGACAGGAGGGATTCTCTGAAGCCACCTGCCTGTGTAGGAAACCCTGCTCACAGACACCCCCCCTTCTGGGCACTCTGTGCTCAAAGGCTGGCCTGTGTCTTCGTCCGGGGCTCACAGTGCCTGCTTGTTCTTCCAGTTGGCAAACGCCCTGCTGGAAAAGGAAGTGATAAACTACGAGGACATCGAGGCCCTCATTGGCCCGCCCCCTCACGGGCCCAAGAAGATGATCGCGCCTCAACGGTGGAGCAGCGCCCAGTCGGAGCAGGACACGGTGGAGGAGGCGCCCCAGCAGACCCCACTCTGAGGGACAAGGTGCCCTGGCCCAAATAGCTGGACCCCCTTGATGGGCCTGGCTGTGCCACAAGCTCCTTTCAGCCTAGACTTTGATCTCCCCTTGGCCCAGTTTCTGCTGGAGGGCTGTGGTTGCCATGCCTGTTTCCCTCCGTGATCACTAAATGTCTTGGCAGAGGTGAATCCAGTGCCTGGTGACAGGGCAGCTCTCAGCTCAGGCCCAGGCCACCGTCCTCAGTTGCAGTCGGGCCCAGGGGCAATGCAGCTGTCTGTGCACCTATTCTCGCCCGGAGCCTGCGTATGCAGGCTCTTCCCCGCACTCGTGATGGGTTGGAATGCACTGGGATAGCAATGAGCGGGCCCCTCAGTCAGTCTCACTTGTCTTGTGCTGGGCGCTGGCCTCAAGCTCATTAATGGGTTACAGTTGGGGGTGCTCACTGGGCTTGAGGATTCCAACACCTCTACCTGCTGCCTGTGGGCGGGTTCATGAGAAGACTTCTTGCTACTCTCATCATGCTGTGTGGGGGAAGTGTGGAACCTTCTAGTAAGTTCTGTGGGTGGAGAGTCCCATCTCTGCACCATGGGGCCAGCTCTAGCCCAGATGACCCATTGGGTTTGCAGTTCATAGTGTCAACCATGCCATGACCAAGTGAAGAGTCCCTTTGTGGGACTGGGGGACACAGCTAGGATACCCCATCTCTGCAATTCAGGCTGCATGCACTGGGCTCCCCTAATCCCAGGGGGGTGTAGCATGCACTCAGGTGTTCCTGCTGCCTGGTTGCATGGGGCCAGGGGTTATGGGACCTCCTGCAGAATGGGTGGCCCTGTCATCATTTCCCTCCCACTCCATGCCCTGAGGGCAGGCAGCTCTGCTGGTGCTGGGTTTGTGAGAAGACTACCTTTGTCCCGGTTCTCAATCCATTTCCAGAGGTGGGCCCAGAGTGAGGAAGGTTCCAGCTGGTATCTGGGTGTCTGCACAGGGGCCACAATTGCTGTAACACCTGATGGTGGATAGACACCCCTTTGTACTGTACCCATTAAAATGCCAGCTCTCTGTCCTGTGGAATTCTGTTTGCAGAGTGCCAGGATGCTTAGCCAGGAATAGGGTGCACATGGCAGGAAGAGGGGCCACTTGCTCCCCCAGCCCTTGGCTGCCTGGCTAGGGACAGTCACTGCCCTCACATTTGTAGAATCAATGTGTCTGTGGACTTTGGCTGGCTGCTTGGTCATAGGTGACATCGGACACATGGTACCAGAAGCTTGCACCTCCTCTGTGTCCTGTGGGGACTGACATTGCTCCTCACACCTCTTGTGGGGGTTCTTGGGTGGAGAGGCTTCAGCAGCAGCATGTGGTCCCCTGGAGCAGCGCTGCATCAGGCACCCTGTGTGCTCCATGCTGGGCCTCCGTCCTCAGCCCTCTGCCAGGCAGATTGGGCACAGCATGGCCTGAGTGTAGCTACCAGAGCATCTGTTTGTGTTAGGTACGTCAGGTCTTGTGACAGATGCATTCTTTAGGTAAATGTACATTTAACACAATCAGAGCCCCAGAAGACAGAGAATAGTGAAAGAAAATTAACTCCTAGTTCTTAGATCATCTTTATTCCACTTTGATGTATTCTCATAAGTCAACATTAATGATTGGTTTTATGCTTAAAAGTTTTTATTGTATAACTGACAGTGTATCAGTTTCAGGTGTAATTCCGTAGTCTTACATATTGCGAAATGATCACAATAAGTCTAGGTAGGAGCTGTCACCAGTTATAGAATTTTCTTGTGATTGAGAACTTTTAAGAATTAAGCACCTTTCAAAGAAAACATGATTATAACATACTGCCAGCTGCCTTTCACTGACATTATTTCTCATACTCCAGGAATCTGATTAGCCTCTATCCGAGTTATGTGTAGGCCACCATTTCGGAAAGTTGAGAGGCCAGATTGTCATGAGCTCTGTGATGAAGCAGTGTGACCTATCCTTGCAGTATAGCTACTGCGTTTCCTAATTCAACTGTCAGGCCACATCTATGTGACATGAGCATGCTAATGTTTTCAAAGTGCTATAGCAACATGACATTTTTCCCCAAAACGCTACAAAATCATGTGCTGCAAGGGTATTAATTTAAAAATTGTGTCTCTGAAAGGGTAGCAGAGGCTATTGTTGACTATCTTGGGTTGGCTTTCCTCAAGGCCAGTCATGATTAGATATGGAATGAGCAGGCATTGACTTGAGTAATGGCTTCAGACTTGGAAGGAAATACTGGCAGGCCGTGCAGGGCAGGACATGCTCCCAAACCTGCAGGGCATTTCCCAGGAGTCCCCGTCCCACTCAGCTGAATGCTGCTTCCAGGGGCATTAGCGGGCCCAAGCCTGGAGCTCTGTGCCAAGGGGTGGGGACTGTCCCTACAGCTAGAGATTTGTAAAACCCTGAGCCAGCCAAGTATTGCACCAGGACTCCTAACAGTTCTTTAGTCTTCCCCAATGAGAGACGTGTATGTTTCCAGCAGAATTGGTCAATTTTTTTGTGTTGCCGTACTACTCACATTTCCGAGGAGGTGAGTGTGGTGCATTCAGGTATGGAAAACCATATTCTGTGTGGGGCTCGGTGTGTGCAGCAGACCCAGGTCTCTAAGTTGCTTTTCTTGGTACTCGCTCCGTTTTGAGCAGCAGCTCCAACTTAAGGCCTTGAGCCCCCACTTGGGACCCAGGGCAGCCGCTTAACCAGGAGCAGGTGGAGCTCGGGGTCGGGGCGGATGGAGCTGCACGAGTCTGCGGGTCTGTACAGAAGTGGGAGGTGTTCCAGCTTGGAGCAAGGTACCACAGCCCGCACGGGTCATTGCAAAGGGTCAGGAAATCATGGAGGAATGAGCTGACGTTCTATCACGGAGCAAGGTAATTATTTACCCACCAGACGTCCGCAGTGTTGCTCTGCTGCAGTTAAACTGCCCAGGATGGAGTGGGTTCAAGCCCCATCTCACTGGACAAAGTGGTTTGTGAGGCGGGCGATAGGCCCTCAAAGTCTGTGAGGACTGAGCGAGGTCCTTCACCTTCCCCGCCTGGGCCGCCCTCGCCACACCGGCTCCTTTTGTCACCTGAAGCGGACCTGTGTTACTGACCACCAGCGTCGCTGACTTACTGTGTGTTGCCGAACGGTGCTGTGTCTTGTGACCTCCCAGCAGCTGCTCCCATTTCACAGAACGGGAAAATTAAAATAACAAAAGCTTTAACTCCATAGCCACTGTATGACTTGCGGCTCCCTGACCTCCCAAGATCAGTCTGTTTGTGAAAATGGTGGACCCAAGAGATTTTGAACATGAACCTCACAGACCACCTCCAGGTTCACGGATAGGTGCTCCCGTTTGCAGCCCTGCGTTTGCGGACACCGGTAAAGCAGGGCTAGTACTGCCCTCGGTTCATGAGCGCGCGCCCAGTAAACGGCGGAGCCTAGGTTTGAACTCCCGCTGTAGGCTCGGTGCATTTGTCAGCAGACAGCGCCTCGGCCATGCCCACGTCTTCTGCCCTTCATACAGGCCTGGAGCCCTGACCATGACCTGTTCATCCCTCGGTGGGTCCCAACCTGTTTTCAACACCCAAGGACGTCTCAACAGGTCAGAGAACTACCAGCAACCCGTTCACTCACTGCAGGTCAGGCTTCCAAATTCCCTTTTTATGTATCATGAAAGTCTTAAAATGTCGATTACGTGTTCCTTGAGGGAAACGTGGTGACTGGGGCGAGAGTGGGAACTACGGAGGGTTACTGGGATGTACGGGCTCACAGCGGTGGGAGTGGCGATCTCCCACGCTGGCGGAGAAGGGCGCGCAGGCTCGGGTCCTGGACGTGCGGGCGGCCGAGCACCGCGGGCCTGGGTCCCACAACTCACGGCCGCTGTCCGCCCTCCGACAGCCGCGTTCGGCCTGGATGCCCCGCCTGCAAACACTCGGTGAGTTAACGGTCTCCAGAAGGATGCACGGAGGGGACGAAGACTGGGACATGGAGGGCGAGGCTTAGGCGTGAAAACACGTACCGGCCGGAGAGCAGCCGAGCAAAAACCGCCTTCTCTCGGCGCCACGTCCGGCCGGGGCCGCAAGGGCGGTGAGGACAGCACGGCACGTGACTTCCGCGCTCTCCGGACCTAATTGGCCAGAACGCTCCGGCGCTTCCGATTCGCCGAGCCCACGCCATCCCAGAGTGCTTTGCAGCCCCGCTTCCTTTCCGCTTGCCGTTCACCCTCGGAGAAGGTGAGTGCCTCCTGGGCCGGCGCTGCCGGGCTCCATCCGCAGCCATCGGCGTAGGACTGCTGTCGGCGCGGCCACGGAGGCACCTCGGGCCCCAGCTGTAGACGGCGTTGGGCCGTGGCCCGAGCTCTCGGGCCGGAGGCCGCCGCTTCGACCGGATCCAGGGCCCTCACCCACCTCCCGTTCCCCACGTCCCCAGACTCGTAGGCAGCAGCCATGGCGCCCAGCCGGAATGGCATGATCCTGAAGCCGCACTTCCACAAGGACTGGCAGCGGCGCGTGGCCACGTGGTTCAACCAGCCCGCGCGGAAGATCCGCAGGTGAGCGGCCGCCGCGGGGAGCGGGGGCGGCGGGGAGCGGGGGAGCCGCGGGGTGACCGCCGCTCCGCGCTGTCCGCAGACGCAAGGCCCGGCAAGCCAAGGCCCGCCGCCTCGCCCCGCGCCCCGCGTCGGGACCCGTGCGGCCCATCGTGAGGTGCCCCACCGTGCGCTACCACACCAGAGTGCGCGCCGGCAGGGGCTTCAGCTTGGAGGAGCTGAGGGTGAGTCGGCCGAACCCCCAGGCCCGGTCCGCCGCGCGCGCTCGGTCCGGTGATGACGGTCTCCGGAATCGCTGCACTGCCCTGATGAAAGCACGTGTGAACCCTTTTCCATCTGACGGCCGAGCGCCTGCGTCGGGGCGGGGAGAGCGCGGGGCCGCGGGGGCTCCATCTCAGTGTCCGGGCAGGTGGCGGGCATCCACAAGAAGGTGGCGCGGACCATCGGGATCTCCGTGGATCCGAGGCGGCGGAACAAGTCCACCGAGTCCCTGCAGGCCAACGTCCAGCGGCTGAAGGAGTACCGCTCCAAGCTCATCCTCTTCCCCAGGAAGCCCTCGGCCCCCAGGAAGGGAGACAGCTCTGTGAGTGGCCGGCGGGGCGGCTCCGGGGCTGCGCCGCCGCGCGTGGGGTTGGGGCTTGGCAGAGGCGTTGACGTCTGTCCCGGGGCCCAGCTGGGGAGAAGGAAACACATTAGCCACAACCTTTTTTTTATCTCCCAAAACGTGGCACCTCTGTGGGTAGTTGTGACCTGGAGGATTCAGAATTGTCAGCTGCCCACATGTGGTTTGTTTGAAAGCTAGTCTCGTGTTTTTCTTTGGACGCTTCGTATACAGATATTTCTAGTAAGACCTTCAGAATGAGGTTGTTGGCGTCCCTGTGTTCAGGCGTGTGTGCCCACTAGGGCATCGTCTGCGTGGTGGCGGGGCTGTCAGTCAGCATCTCGGCCCTTCGGGGGGTAAGCTGAGCCCACGTGACCATCCCGTTTGATTGACAAACAGGCTGAAGAACTCAAGTTGGCCACCCAGCTGACAGGACCAGTCATGCCCATACGGAACGTAAGTGACTGTGTGAGGAGGACTTGACACTGATGGGGTGGGATTGAGGTGGAGGGAGTGAAGGGTGGCAGCTCAAGATTCCTAAGGGGCCGAGAAGGAGCCTCAGCCCGTGAGAAGGTCCAGACAAGATTTCGAGGGAGGGCCTTGTCCTCCCCTTGGGAAACTTTGGGGGCCCTCGTTTGGGGCTTTCTGCTTCCTGCTCTCAGAAAACTTAGGCCACTCTCTGGTTATATTTGGTGATCTTATAACCTGCCCAGCATCCATCAGGCCCTTGAGGTTCCTTTGGGAGTGGAACGTGGGCCCACATTACGTCCCACAGTATTGCTGTCCGTCTACCCAAGCACAGCGTCCCCCCTCCTGCCTGTCCTTCATGTCTGGGGTGGTTGCTTCTCTGCCTCTGCTCGGAGTTTGGGGTTGTTTCTAAGTCCCAGGGCGGGTTATTAAGCCCTCTTTGTGGCCTCCGTGTAGCCGTCTGGCGGTGGGCCAGCAGGTGCGGTGTTAAATGATCTCCCACCAGGGCCTCTGGTTCTGCTGGCCTTTGATCCTGGGCTTCGCTGTGGGCGAGGTTCGAGCCCTGTGTTCTTGCAGGTGTACAAGAAGGAGAAAGCCAGGGTCATCACAGAAGAGGAGAAGAACTTCAAGGCCTTCGCCAGCCTTCGCATGGCCCGTGCCAACGCCCGGCTCTTTGGCATCCGGGCAAAAAGGGCCAAGGAAGCTGCAGAGCAGGATGTTGAAAAGAAAAAATAAAGGGCTGCTGAGAGCTTGTGATAAATCTGCAGTGTCTGTGTGACCATTGTCCAGGCATGGGGTGGGTCTGGCAGGGGTGAGGGCGTTTTTTGGGTTGCGTTTTGCTGTCTGTACTTCAGGGTCCCTTGGATCAGCTGTCGGCTGAGCAGCTTCAGGGCCTTTCCCATCGAGGTCCCAGCCCAGTTTTTAAGCAGAGGAGTTTTAGTGTGTTAGTCTCTGGGGACCTGGACCTGGGGCCGCAGCCTTGCTTTGAATTGTGCTCAGGCCCTTCCTGGGCCTGTGCACCTCTGCCCTGCCTGGTGGCAGACCCTTCACCCAGCTTTGTAGCACAGGAAACTGGCCTCTGGCTTTCCCTAAAGTGTCCTCATACTATGCTTGCTTAGTGACTGGGACACCGCTGCCCACCCTGAGGAAGCCTGGTGTCCCTGGTGGCAGCAGGGCCACAGCAGGACTTGGCAGTGTTTTGAGCTTAATGTCTTACTGTCTGGGTCCTTGGGGAGTTGCCAGGGATGTGGAATCCCACACCTGGACCCACTCCCACTGGGGCTGGTCTGGAGCCTGTTCCAAAAGGTCATGTAGTAGGTGATGCTGGGCCTGCTGCTGCTGCTGTTTCTGGCTTTGAGGTTTTATAAGGCTGGTCTCAGTGCTTGACATATACATGGTGCCGGTGGGTTCAAAGATCAGCTGAACTGGAGAGGTGGGAATCTGAGCCTAGGCTGTGTCCTGACAATGCCTCTAGACAGCCAGGTGGACATGGTCCACTGGGTGCTTAGGGACCTGAGTGGGTGGCCTGCCCAGGGGCAGGCCCTGCCTCTGCGGGTGCCCTGGCTGCTGTCCAGGAGCACAGGGTGTGGAGCGGGAGTGCTGGGTTCTAGCCACGGGGCTGAGGGGAGGAGACTGCCACTGGCTGCACCCCACCCAAGTGAAGGGCCTCCTATTGTCTGGAGTGAGCACTTGAGAAAGGCCTTAGGTAGGGGACCCAGGCATGGGGACTGCATGCACCCTGGTGCACCACTGGCTGCCCAGTGCTGATGGCAGCCGTGCTGTCACTGGGTAAGCTGCCTCTCGGGTCCTCCCCTTTCTGTTTGGAGGCTGAGCTCAGTGCCAGAGTGCTTGGCGAGCTTGACGAGGCCCCGCCCCCCGAGCGGAGCGGAACCCGCCCGGACATAAGCCCGGTTCTGCTTACCTGGAGCTCAGGAACCAGGCAGGAAACATCCAAAGGCTTCGAAGGTGCTGGAACCCTGCTTGTTCTTCCAGATCTGCTTGGTCCACTGACCTGCCCCTGACCCAAAGGAGCAAGAAGCAGCTGTCCCTGCAGTTCGGGGGTGTTTGTGGATTTCTGTGTCACCCGGCACCGGCCCAGCTCCCGTTCCAGGTCCTGTTTAGGGCCGCTGAGCTGGGGGAGGCGACAAGCCCTCGCCCAGCATCCTGAGGCTGAGGAAGGCTCCCTGCGAGGTGGAGCCTGAACCCTAAATGCACGCCAAGAAGTGACCAGGACCTTGTATTGCCCAAGGCAAGACAGAGCGAGCGCGGAAGGCGGGTGCAGGCGGGTTCTGGGGCCACGCCCCCTCAGGGCTGCTTCCCGTGTCTGCCAGCTCCAGGGCAGGGCGGTCTTTGCCTACTGGCTGTCCCCTGGCACTGGGGTGGCTGATCCTAGGGTGGCCCCAGGAGCCCCCTTGAGCGTGGGCAGAAGGGTGACTAGGAGAGGCCACTCGTGCGCGTGCCTGGCAGGGCCCGCAGGGCAGCAGGAGAAGGGACCTCGGCGCTGTCCCGGCGAGGAACCCGATCCTGCCCCAGCCTGGGCCTCTATGACCTGGGCACTGAGCAGGGGCCCCGCTATGCTGTACGCTTGTAGGCACACAGCTTAGGC